TCCTACTCAGTGGCTCCCTGCTGGCCGCCCAAGCGCGATGGGGAAGCACCGTGACTGAAGACACACCTCTGCGCTGGCCCGCCCAGATCTGCTACCAAAGCATGGTAGCCACCAAGCTTGGGTGAAAATTGCTGTTTAATATTTTAACCCTGCTGACTTGGCTTCTGTAACTATTTGCTTGCTAAAATAATAGAAAAGTTACTTTGATTTTTCTGAACTTATATAAGTTATCCCATTCGATTGAATACTCCATTGACTGTGGTTTGAATGCCCCCATGGAGAGTGATCTTACTGGTCTTTCGAAACACATTCCTCTGCACCTGGAGACCAGGACAGCACACTTACTCTAAATGGCCTCAGTGGCTCCAGAGAATGTGTTTCCGTTGACTCAGTGGTCCCAAGACCCGAAACTATAATTAATCTTTGTAACTAACTTGCTCAATCGAAGCTTCTGTAACAAACGGCTTTTTGCAAACCAGGTTCCTCATTCCAAACCTCGAGATGTAATCAATACCTTTGTGATATTTGCCTATATAAGTCTGATGTTTCGGCCAAGAGGGCCCCTACGAGATTTGGAGAGCAAATTGCCCCCTCGTAGTCCCGGCTTTGAAATAAATGTGGCTCCTTAATTCGACTTCTTGAGGCGTCCTTGTGTGATTCGCAGGGTACAATACAACACTACATCAGAATCTCTGGGGCTGGAGGTGGGCTCGGGTCTTCCTCTCTATAATGAGGGGGTTGGACTGGCTGATCTTCGCAACCTTTCTGGTTTCAAATTCCATGACACCGTAAGTGATCAAAGTGAGGTGATATCAATAAGGGAGACAGGAGGGTGTGGATGTAAAAGAAACCCACCTACAAACACTTGGTACCTGCAAGAGAAATGTGGGAGGGGCTGGTGGCGTTACAGGCTATGAGAAAGCTTTGTCACAAGACATTTTGGGACCTTGTTGCAAGATCATGAGTTCAGCGATCTGCAGAGATTGGCAGGGGCAGTTGGGACTTTTATCTCACCGCAGGGATCAACCTGCATCCCCATCCACACTCCTCTGGTTCTTCAGAAACAACAAGAGTGCCAGCAGACAAGCTTTAAACCGCTGAAGGGAAAAAGGCTCCGTCTTCATTCTCTGTGGCCCAGGTGGTTGGGGGATGCCCTTGTTGATTGCTAAAGTGGCCACAAGGGGGCAGTATAGCACAGCGTTCTTAACGAAGGCCTTTCCATTGAATCACGTTGGAAAGACTTCTTTCTACACATATACTTAACAAACCTAGTTACCACCTTCAGAAAAAGAAGCAAAAATAAGTTCCTGAAACATGACAGAATTGCAGTGACACAGAACTTACAATCAAATTAAAGAGCAAGAATATGGAGCCAAACGTAAAGAAGAGTTGTAAAAATGCTTGAAGGAAAATTTGGCACAATTATGACCTATATAATTTAACGTATTAACGTTTGGCGATGTTTCGGAAAAAACACAAGCAAGATTTCTGCAGTGGATTTTATTGAAACGCGAAGGAGCTATGGAAATGCGTTTCGGTTTTGCCTTTTCTGTCCTTCCTGGCCAGGATGGTTAGGGAAGCTCTCGCATTGCCACTGTAAGCCGACAGGTTAGACTAGTAGGGAGGACAGTTAGATAGCCCACCTTATGCTCCGCTTCCATCTCCACTTCTAGCCTCCGGGGTAGCTGGTGGCAAGTCGAATACCTCCATCAGAAAGGTTACCCCTTGGAAGTTGATGTTCATGATTGGTTGTCTGTTCTTCCCTCCGATAGAAAACAAATGACTTGTAAATGTAATCGTAACAGTGAAAATGCCAATGCATTTTAACTTAGAGCTGTTTAAACTTGAGTACCCTTGGAATACAAGTGTAAACGGAATTCTAATTTATGAGTTTGTACCTTATTCCTCCCTGCTAAGGACTTTATGCACGGCATGTACGCAGTGCCCTCCTTGGCAGGGGCCCCTGGGTAGAGGAGCAGGGTCCCTTCCCCCAGGGGATGGTGAATGGAGTCAGAACTCCTGAGAAGAGTAGGCAGTGAAGGGTCCAGGCCAAGGAGAAGTGAGGAAATGGGCGGAAGGAGCTCATGGGGGCGGGCCCTGGTAAGGCTGCAGACACCTCCGGCAGCTATTTCTTCATGTTCATTCTGGAGTCACTTATTAAGATGGAAAGGAGATAAGAAGTGATGTATCTCGCGGCCCCTAGGTGGAGGAGCAGGGTCCCTTCCCCCAGGGGATGGTGAATGGAGTCAGAACTCCTGAGAAGAGTAGGCAGTGAAGGGTCCAGGCCAAGGAGAAGTGAGGAAATGGGCGGAAGGAGCTCATGGGGGCGGGCCCTGGTAAGGCTGCAGACACCTCCGGCAGCTATTTCTTCATGTTCATTCTGGAGTCACTTATTAAGATGGAAAGGAGATAAGTAGTGATGTATATCAGCCCTAAAAGTTGATACCTTGCAACCTGCCCAAACAGCTGCCTTCATCGTCTGGGACAGGTCTCCCGTGTCCCTCACCCCGTCCCTCTACTCTAACTTCAGCCCCCTGTCGGCCTTCCTGGGCTCATGCCTCCTCTAGGCCTAGGAGATGGAAGGCGGCCCTTCAGTGCTGTTTTGGCGAAGTTGTCTTAAGAGCCAGCTCCAGCTGTCCTTGTCTTCTGCGCATTTCACCCACGTCCGAGTAGGATGGCTGCTGGCTCTGCTGCCACCTACTGGAAGGTGGCAGCACAGCAGGCTGAAAACCGGGAAACCAGTGTGTTCCCAACCATGAGTGTGCACAGACGTCACCTCTACCTGGCCCACCTGTGCTCTCTGAGGATGGGACACGTGCACAGAAATCCACATGGGCATCCTTGCCAGCACGCAGCCAGGTGTTTGAGAGAGACTGTAAGTGAACAAAAAGCAACCTTTATAGCAACCAACCTCCTCCTCCCGCATCCCATTGCCTTTAACTCAGGACTGCAGGCCCATGAGGCCATGGCGTTATCTAGCGCCCTCATTTGCAAACACACACAGCTGCCGAATGCTTCAACACACATGGGGTGCTTTTTTTAAAACAACAACAACAACAAACAACAACGTGTCAACTCTTTTATTTGAGTCATAGAATTAAATTGGAAATTGAACCATTTCCAGGATCAGTTGCTCAGAAACTCCATCCTGGAGGCAGCATCTTTAAATACAAATTATTCTGGAAATTTGACCCAGGTACCGGGTCAACTTTTGAAACTATTCATACTATTAAAAAAAAAAAATACAATTCTCAATACATGTGTGAAATTCTCCCAGTTACTTACAAAATGCTATCACAATTTAAGTGCTAGTGTCTAAATGGACCCTTCACTGAAAGAACAAGAATATCATTTATTATTTTAGATGGTGATTATATTAGACACATTTTCTTCCAAGCAATTTGTAACTTTCTATATACATACAAAGACCATATATCTATATCTATCTATCATCTATCTATGTAGATAGATGATAGATAGATAGATAGATAGATACAAAGATATCAGAATGTCTGAATCAAGCGAGAGGCTGGGATCATATGCTACTTATGCCCCCTCAACCGCCTTAAGAGGGAAAGATTAGGTACTTCAGTCACTTCCTGTCCACAACCACAACCCACAAGGTTCAGGTTTCAGAGTTTGAGAAAAATCATTAACACCTCCTGTTTTTCTGATATAATCTCCCCGGTGATTCTCACTCCTGTATGTTTCCTCACCTAATGTTGACTACCATGGTCCTAGCTACCGCAATTCAAAACATCCTCAGGCATGTGCTAAGTAAGAAAAGTAGCAACTGCAGAGAGGAAAAAAAGCCCCATAGTTCTCCCTTCCAAATGGGTAACTCCCTTAGAGTTTGGGTACGGGTTGTCTGGAGGAGGCATCGTTAAAGAGTATCTAAAGGCCCCACACGCAGCCCGAAACACAGAGGTTGATCAATGGTACTTTTTGTGGCTTATGCAGCCGGGGGCAGCCTGTTTCCAAATGAGTCAGTGTCTTCTCCTCTCCGCCTATTGGTAGGGTTAAATCCGGAAGATGATGCTTAGACAGTGAGGGGGAGCGGGGGTGGGGTGTGTGTGTGTGAGTGTGGCAGGCAGACTCTTAGTCATTTGGGCTTCCCTCACCTCTTGGCTCAATGCTTATAAAGCTCTGGGCTTTCATGAACTATGTAGGTTGCCTATCTGAGCTGGCAGTGTACCTGGGCCTCAGGCACACGCATTCACACACCTGTTGCTTCAAAGCCTCCAGGAGATGCCTGGTGACTGAGCTGGGGTGGGAAGGATGCTCTGAGAGCTTGTGCATCAATGAGAGACAGCCAGAGTCTGTCCGCACCAGGCTGCGTGCGAGCTCACAACACCCACCCCTCCTCTCCCACCTCCCCCTCCTGCTTTTCACCTAAACCTCCTGGAAGCCTCTTTTGGGGCATCTCCAGTCTGCATGTTGAAACCTAGGGTCTCTCTGTGCCCCTTAGCACCCACTTCAATCTGCCCGGCTCGGCTGACTCTTACCCTAAATGCTGTGAATGTACTCGCCTCCACCCCACCCCTGCCTGTGCCGTGACCTCAGCGGAGGCCTCCTCACCCTGACCTGCGTGTTGCTGGTCCCCCTGCCCTAAATGCTCACCTTCCCAGGTCTTCCTCAGGGCACTGGATGAACCCCTGCCACGCTGGCCAAGGCCCCTGCTCTACTGTCAGGTTCTTCACACCCCAGCCCACACCTCCTCCCAACCAGTCACACAGCTTTGCCCTTGCGTGCAGCGCCTGCAGCTTGGGGCTCAGCATCCTTTTCTTCCACCAGCAGTGGGTCCCCCTCCCTTCCTCCCAGCTCCACCAGGCCATGGACTCTCATCTGGGCCTGAGTGCCTGGGGAACTTACTGCCCACCTTGGAGGGAGGTCACACGAGGAGACGGCCTTTCATAACTGACCACGTCCAAGTCTCTCCTTGGTCCCCCTCCCTTCCTCCCAGCTCCACCAGGCCATGGACTCTCATCTGGGCCTGGAGGGAGGTCACACAAGGAGACGGCCTTTCATAACTGACCAAGTCCAAGTCTCTCCTCCCCACGCAAGACAAGGACTGATCTACACACATTTACAACCTGTCCATTGCCTTGTGCAGGCAAGAAACTATACAGCACGTGTCTTGATTCATTTTGTTGTTCCTGGTCAGGCAACCAAACTCAAGCATCAGCAATTCTCGGGGGACAATTTTTTATAATGAACTTTTCCAGGGAAGGGAGCATTCGTCGATTGCTGAGGTCCGTGGAGGGCAGATGACAAGGTGGCTATTTCACCCACTTGTTTTGGTTGTAGAATGGAAGGGCAGATACCAAATAGATGGGTGGATCTTTGGCCTTCTATGACAGCCACTTCCTTTCTGAAATCGCTGCTCCCACCCCCAGCCTGGGGCTAAAAAACCGAGTGCAGGTCACAAGCCAACAGAGATGTCCTGCTCCCCTGTGGAGCGTGAGTAGACGGAGCCCCCGCGCTCAGGGGCCTCTCGCTGGAAGATGGGGCAGCGTTTGAAGAGGCGGCGGGCGATGTGCTTTTGGAAGAAGCCTGACAGGTAGTTTCTGAACTTCTCCCCGACGAAGGCGTAGATGATGGGGTTGATGCAGCAGTGCGTCATGCCCAGGGTCTCCGTCACCTGCATGGCTTGGTCCAGCCGATTGGAGCTACTGCAGTTGTTCAGGCCGAAGAACTCCTGGAAGGTGTTCAGGAGCAGGACGAGGTTGTAGGGAGCCCAGAAAAGGAAGTAGACGATCATGATCACGAAGATGAGCCTCACGGCCTTGTGCCTCTTCTTCTCGTTGCGACACCGCATCAGGGTCTTCAGGATTCCAGAGTAGCAGACGACCATGACCAGCAGGGGCAGGACCAGGCCCAAGAGGACCATCTTCAAGGTCTGGAAATTCTTCCAGAAACGATACTGACTGGTTGGGTAGTGAGGACTGCAGGTGCAACGAGACACCTCTTTTTGGGATTTGGTGAAGATGATTCCTGGGAGAGAGGCGAACACGGCCACCACCCAGGTGACCCCACTGGTCACCACCCCAAACGTGACCGTCCTGGCTTTTAAAGCAAACACAGCGTGGACGATCGCCAGGTACCTGTCAATGGTCAAGAGGATGATGAAGAAGATTCCGGAGAAGAAGCTGATAAAATAGAGGCCCGTCAGAAGCCGGCACATGATGTTCCCGAAGACCCACTGGCCGGCTGCGTAGTGAGCCCAGAAGGGGATGGTGAGAAGGAAGAGCAGGTCAGAGAGGGCCAGGTTGAGCAGGTAGATGTCAGTCATGCTCTTCAGCTTTTTGCAGTTGATCAGGATGAGGACGACCAGCAGGTTGCCCACAAACCCGAAGATGAACACCAGCGAGTAGAGCGGAGGCAGCAGCTGGGCCGCGATGTGCCTCACATTGATTTTCTGGCAGGGCTCTGACATGCTGTAGTCAATGTAATCGAATGTGGTTGGCACTTGATCCATCGTGGTTGGCACTTGATCCATCGTGGTTGGCACTTGATCCATCGTGCTCAGCCCTGTGGATACAGAAGCAATGATCGCTGATCAAGCCCCAGAAGGTACCGAGGGGCCCACCGTGACTGCAAATGCTTTTACACATGAAGGGGGCCCTAACATTGATACATAAATTTCTACATTTAACTGAGCTCCTTTTGGGGGGTGGGGGGCACAGAATGAACTCTGAAAATAAAGGGAAGGCTTGCCGCTAGCTTCCTTGCTTACTCGCTCTGTTGGGGAAACTCATGAAAGGACCCATAGCCACATGGAGTGGTTGAAACTTTAATAACAATGTCAAGAAATGGAGTCGGGCACCATCAGTCCAACACTGCCTTGCAATCTACGCCGAAGCTGCCATTCCCTTGAGTGGGCTTCCGTGAGCATCGCCTCGGGCGTGCTCTGGTCATTAGGTTTCCCAGGGTACCATGCAAGCCAACCACTAAGCTTCACTTAGGCAACTAATCCTCAAGGTGACCCAATGAGGCAGGTCACATTACTGTTCCCATGTTGCAGATGAGAATCTCAAAGTCCAGAGAGGAGGACTTACCCAAAGATACACGGCTGGGGAGCAACTGATTCAGAACCCAGGCAATCTACACTCATCCACCATGTCATCCTGTCCCTCACTCCTTGGTGAGAGAACCAACGGGCAGGGCCATCAGCTTGGTGCCTCTCTCTCTCTCTCTCTTTCTCTCTCTGGTCAGAACGAAATGGGCTTGCGGATGCCGGGTCCCCGAGAAGGTCCTAAGAGCCAGCAGCCAATTGTAACATACATTGTCCCCTTTCCTCTGAAGTTTGTGTTTATAGTTCCTGAGTTGCGATGAGTAAGAGGTCTCCACATCCACAAGGAATGGTCAAGTGGGAAATGTTCCATCTGCCACCACCCTTCCTGCCATAGCTCCGTTCCTTCGCAACCCTCCGGCTTGCCCCAGCTCCCCACGTTCCACTTCTGGCCTGAGAAGTCTCTCTAATCCTGGGCAGCTGGGGAAGAACATCTCCCTTTAAAGTTCTGAGCCAGAAAAAGGAGCACACACGAACCTGTGCTGTGAGACTCATATGTTAAAGGGAGACTTTGATATTTGTAATGATATTAACTTGGGCAATTTTCAGCCTTCCTCTCTTCTGAGGGAAAAGAACACCAAAAGAACCAGACTGAGCTGCAACTTCTGGTGGGGCGCATGTTCAGAGGGCATCCTGCCGGGGGGTTTTGTCCTGATCAGAAGGTAATCGCTACCCAGATTTCGCCAAGAATCCCCTCTCTGACAAAGCTTTCTTTTGAAAGGTCGGGGCTTTCAAAGAAATAATACTGTTTCCTTTAGAATTTTTCATTCATAATCGTGTTTTGTATCTTCGATGTTATCACCGTCTGAAACTCATTCTAAATTCTAAGCCTTTCCTGATCGTCGAGATGATCGTTTAAGATAGTCCTTTGAGCACCTGGTGCTTGTCTAATGTCCCCTCTGGGTTTCCTGTAAAGGCTTGTGCTCATCACAGAAGCAGAGCTAACTCATAGGCAAAGTGACAGAGAGGTGACTTACCGGGAAGTTTCTGGTGGGGACGGATGTCTTAGCTCTTCTGACCAGCTGAGCTGTGCAAATCAAACATATAGCAACAGACACACAGGAAACTTAAAGCAGTTTCTACTTAAAGGGGGGTGGAGTTGTAATGCCTACGTATGTTGCAGGGCAAAAAAAAAAAAATCAGTAAACAGTTCTCCTTTTTCTTTTCCTTTTTCACTTGAGCTGTAAATAGGCAGAAGAGTAGATTTCTGGTCTGTAACGTGAGCTTCCCTAGTTACACTGTTTTCTTTAGGTTCTCTGCTCATCCAACTACACAGCGTCTGTTAGGAAACAGAAAGAACGGGAGGATATTGGAACTAGAATATTCACATGTATCTAGTGAAAAGCCCTCGCTTTCCTGAAAAACAAAAACAAAATCCCTGCTGTCCAGGGGGCAAATGATGTGTGCAAGGCCTCAGGGCTTGTCAGCGTGAGGCCCAAAGGCCGAGAGATCCCCATCCTCTTCCTATTTGTTCAATGAAGCCAACTCAAAACGACTTGAAATTGAGAGGGGAATCCTTCATAGTAACCCCGTGCCCCCCTTCACCCATCCTTCTCCCCACCGCCTTGCCTACTGCAGCTTATACACTCGCTCAGCACCCTATACGGTTTTCCTCTGTAAACGAAAACAGCTGGTTACCTAAAGCATTTTAACGGTAGGCTCACCTGTGAGCGAACCCCGCTGCCTGCCTTTCTCTCGGGTATCTAGTGGGGCATGTCAGTACGAGTTTTCACTCTACTGTTTCACTGTTTGCAGCCCTCCAGCCCCGAGGGCATTGGTGGGTGCGTGTACTGTGCCAGGTATAGCGGCGGCAGAGTTCCCACCCCCAGAATACGATCTATCTGGAGCTGTGAGAACTTTTCAACATGAAATGGGCAACAAATGCCAGAAGAATAGGGTCAAATTCAGGACTAGATGACAATACTAGGCAGTCACATCAAGCTTTCTTGGTGGTAGGTGACTTATCTAAAAACTTCAATTGTTGCCCGTCTGGCTTGGCTCAGTGATTGAGTATCGACTTATGAACCAGGAGATTACGGTTCGATTCCCAGTCATGCCGGGTTGCGGGCTTGATCCCCAATGGCGGGGTGTGCAGGAAGCAGCCAATCAATGATTCTCTCTCATCATTGACGTTTCTCTCTCTCTCCCTCCCTCTTCCTTCCTCTCTGAAATCAATAAAGATAGATGATAGATAGATAGATAGATAGATAGATAGATAGAGTGGTTCTCTGGGGTCCTTGTACTAGTTTAGAGCTGCTTAGTATCAGCAAATGAGAAGCTGAAAGAATGAAGCTGATGCCTGGTGCCTGGAGACCAGGGGAAGCCGGGAAAGCATAGGGATAGCCCCGCAATCCAGAACCGCCCCTCGTGGGCACATATGTTTGTGTGACCACAGAGCCCAATGGCTGGTCACCCTAACCAGGACAGGGAGCCATAAGGAAAATGTCCCCCCGTTCATCCTGTGTGTCATTCAAGAGGCAACGACTCGGAACCGCACCCTGCAGTCATGTTGCTGGATTTCAACCCCAGCATCGCTATTTACTGTGCGACCTGAGCAAGTTACGGAAACTCTCCAGGCCTCAGTTTTCTTATCTGGGAAATGCGGCAACAAATCAAACACACAAACCTACTCGATAGGTCTATGGTCAAGATCGAGTGATACACAGACCCATAGACACAGAGAACGAGCTACTGGCTGCCAAAGGAGCGGGGTGGGGACGTGAATTAAACAAGGGAGGGAATATTCTAGGTGGCCTGTGGTTTCTCAGCAGGGCTTAGGAAAATAATGTTAATGTCTATCGCTTCTATTGTGCTTATTCTGTGCCGGTTTCGGGGAGGGGATATCAAATGATGTGACGAGTATAGATCCTTTTGCAAATGCCTGTCCTCTGTGGGTTAGTTAAGCAGTGAACTATAAAGGTGCTTTAGAAAGAGTTCACAAAACGGGTAGCAAAGAAATGGATGTAAAATGTCACAGAAGGCAGGTGCGGCTTTGGTTCTGGTGTTTCCTGCTAATACACTGGCGAGGATCTCAGATGCTGCTGGACAAACCTTACGTTTCTGCAGGAGACAGTGGTTGTTTCAGACTTTCTCACATGGAGCTGGGGCTTTGCTCTGTGTCGGTCACTGGGGTGGCGTGCTCACCCCTAGAGGGCAGTGTGGAGCAAGGAGCAGGCTCCCTCGCCCACACTGTGGTGCCCACTCACCCGGTGCTCGCGGCCAAGAGACTTCCTCTCTACGCTTCCATTTCCTCATCTGTCCAGTGATGTCTTAGGCCTGGGGGCCCAGAAGGCAGCTCCCCACTTAAATATGAATGACTCTGGGCCACGTTGGTTTGGAAAATACACATTAAATGGGAATAAGGCGGAGACAAGGAATCACAGCTTAGCAGGGTGCCTGACCCCCTCCCAGGTTTCTGGGCCCAGAGGTGAGTTCAGGTCAGCGCCTGCGATAGGGGGTCCGTCCCAAGATGCACAAGGGAGTGAGAACCAGTGGGAAGGGAACTTCTTCAGCATTTCATCAGTGAAACACTGTTCTGGATACAACAGACAACAAATGAGCAGTGTATCCTGTGACTTCGTTTCCTGGTCTCTGCTTCCCTTTTCACTTGGTCCCTCCCACTCTCCAGGGCTCCCATCCTCAGAGGCATGGCATTCAGACTTCCCACCAGAAACGGTCTTTTGACTGCTCTGCCACTCGCCTCCGTATGATGTCCGTATTGGAGGGTGTCTCAGGCCAGTCCTTATACAGCTGCTCTACATCTGGTCATTGCCCCCAAGTTCCAAGGGTTCCTTCACGCTCCGTACCCAGGCCATCTCTGGACCATGTACTCAGCATCGTCCACAGGATGAAGAGAACATCGGTCTTCTCCTGGGGTTCGAGGGGCCACCTGCTTGAGCACAGGGAGCTCAAACCTGCCACAAGCAGCTCACATGAACATACCTGGGGCTCAAATGGACTGTAGGTCAATGCCAGTCAACACTGAGATAGGCTGTGAAAATAGCAAACGCATCCTTTAGTTTTTATAAACAAATGTATAATTATAAAGCCAACACATGCTCATTGTATGAAGTTTGGAAAAACAGAAAAACAGAAAGTGGAGGAAATTAGGCATGTTCTCACAATCTCAAAAACAGTCCCTCGCAACATACGATGTGTTTTAATCCCCTTTTCTTAGTATGAAGTTTGGAAAAACAGAAAAACAGAAGTGGAGGAAATTAGGCATGTTCTCACAATCTCAAAAACAGTCCCTCGCAACATACGATGTGTTTTAATCCAGACCTTTTCTTACGTGTACTTTTTGGTTAATTGCCCTCCCATGTGTACCAGTTCCTGGTGCTGCTCTTTTTCTTATCAGACTAAAGATGACTTTGTAGGCACTGGCTCACATTATTAAATGTCTTATATAGTTCTTTAGCTGTTATTTTTATTGAGGTGGAACTTACATGCAGCCTAGCGCACTAGCCCTAGGCGGACAGCTGGGAGAGGCACCGCGCAACCACCACCCAGATCGAGATGACCGGAAATGGCCCTGTCACCCCGAAGGCGCCCTTGTGCCCGGCCCAGAGACCAGGGCACTCTGACTTCTATCGTCAGGGATTCGATGTGCCTGTCCTTTAACCTCCTGTAACTGGATCCCAGACTCTGGCCTCCTTCCTGTTGGCTTCTTTTGTCCAACAGAGCCCTGTAAGTAGACAGCTGGGCGTTTCCACTGGTCATTGGTATGGACAGCTTGTTTGGATGTTGCTGTCAGTCTCTGATCTCCCCCGCAAGGAAGACACTCCGGGTGTCCCCGAAGCCACCTTCACCAGGAGAGCCAGAGTCCCTCTAGTCCTCGAAGAAAAAGGGAGACCCCCCCCCAACATGCACAGACACACACCCCAGCCAGGGCCACGCTGTGTCACCGGTGCGCCTCAGCAATGATGCTGGCGTCGTGTGACTCCCATCGCCCTCCACCCTCTGCCTCAGACGCCCGCCCTGAAGAGGGTTGGGAGGTCACCATGCTGCCCTCTATTCCCGCTGTCTCTGTCCTCCAGGCCCTTTCCAGGATAACCCCGTCCTCCAGCCCACGCCCCACGCCCCCGATGCCCTGGTAAATCATCAAGCCACATAGGCACGTGCAGACTGTCCACCTCACCCCTTGGTTAGACAAGGTGGGAACCCCCTAACTCCCCTGAGAAGTCTGCTCTTGGATTTTGGGCATTTTTTTCAAATCACTGTCCAGACCTGGGGCGGATGTGACCTTAGGTGCAGTGACAGAAGTCTAACGTACCGATTCAGGAGCATAGTAGGCTTGCTGTGATCTGCTCTCTAGGCAACTCTGTGCATAACAGGATATTCGGTGGGACTTTGCCCATTGCCCCAGAACTGGCAGCCATACCCTGAGGCTGAGGGCGAGGAGGTGTTAAGTACCCTGCAGTTCTAAGAAAACCACTGACACCTGGTCACACACCTTCCCCAGGGCTGAGTGACAGAACCAGCCCTGGGTGCCCCCCTCCCCACCCACCATGTCAACCCTCCCACTCCTGTCCCTATAAGGAGAAAACCGGTGGCAGAAAAGGGTTGTAGAAGTGGGTGATTGATGGGGAGGCACGAGGGGAACCAAGGAGGGGGCTCCCAGAGATGAGGAATGGGGGTTGTCAGAAGGGGAGGCCAGCCCCGCATTTTCTTTCTTTCTTTTTTTTTTTGTGAGTGACAAGAATGTTTATTTATTTTATTAAATATATTTTATTGACTTTTTACAGAGAGGAAGGGAGAGGGATAGAGAGTTAGAAACATCGATGAGAGAGAAACATCGATCAGCTGCCTCCTACACACCCCCTACTGGGGATGTGCCCGCAACGAAGGTACATGCCCTTGACCGGAATCGAACCTGGGACCCTTCAGTCCGCAGGCTGATGCTCTATCCACTGAGCCAAACCAGTCAGGGCAACAAGAATGTTTATTAACTGGCTCCGACATAAAGCCCCAGTCCTGGAAGCCATCAACAGACTCCACGGCCTTCACTAACCTTAAGGTCGCTGACCCTTTTTCTGCTATAGAAGCGACGGGCCCCACGTTCTTGAAGGGGCGTCCACTAGGCAGCAGACCAGCTGAGCAAGGGCAGAGGGCGCTGGAGAGAAGTGGCAGGGGAGACAGGGCGTGGCACTGGGGGCAGCAAGGACATCCCAAGGATGTGAGAGCACCCAGGGTCAAGTTCAAACCTGCTGCCAACGCAGCAGCATCTCAAGAAGTTTCCAACCTCAGTCACTCACCACACCCAGGCCCCCTCCCCCCCCGCCCCGCCCCTGAGTTCCCGGGCTGCCTTGCAGAAGCCAGTCACCTGCCCAGACACTCTTCTGTCCTGCAAGGTGCCCCTTGGCGGCCTTTGCTGCCGGGGACTCTCACCCGAGGCCACTTCAATGTGTCAGGGACGTTTTCATAATGGGAGAAAGCCAAGGGGAAAGATGGGGTCTGGATGGCTTCTTCCCAGGAGGCTGCGGGCTCACATGCCTCCAGCTGCCCACACCAGGAAGATGGTGTGGGGCGGGCTGTGTCAAGCCCCCGACGCCACTAAAAGTCTCAGGATACCCATCCCGAGGAATGCTGCCCTTCCCTGGCATCCGCTGAACTCCATCAGCCCACTCACATGCTCTTCCCGGGAGAAAGGAGCCTGGCGGTGCCCACTTCAGAAATGGAGGTGTCGGCACTTTCACACTGCACTCTCCTCGGTGGGGATAAATCCTGCCGTAGCTGTTAATACTGCGATGCAGGCCTATCGTTGTCAGTCACTTTCTCCTCTGGGCTCGCAAAAATGTTCACATCTACGTGTCTCTGTGCCCTGCAGCGAGCATTGTGATTTATAAGTCACCCCACTCTCTACCCCTCTCCCCCCATCAGCAGTGAGGTCAAAGGGCACAGACATTGCCCGGCCGGTGTGGCTCAGTGGATTGAGTGTCGTCCTAGGCACCATTCCCAGTCAGGGCACGTGCCCAGGTTGTGGGCTCCATCCCATGTGGGAGGCAGCCAATCGATGTTTCTGTCTCATCAGTGTTTCCCTCTCTCTCCATCTCCCTTCCTCTCTTTCTAAAATCAATAAAAACATATTTTAAAAAATAGAATGAAAAGGGCACAGGCATTCATATCTGACCCAGTCTGGCACCTCCTAGATCCCCGGGTGTGTTTGTCACATTGGATTTCATTTAGGAAGCCTCTATCTATCATACGTATTAATTGGCTTTTGTGCTGCTTAGCAAACAACCCCCACAGCTCAGGGGCTTAACACAGACCTCTTGCTTCGGGGACGTGTGGCTGCCGTGTGGCCGCTGTGCTCTGCTCTCTGTGTCTTCTCGTTTGGTCCCCAGGATGCCTGGGCGGAAGGAGTCCTGGTCTGGGACGTCCTGTCTGTGGCTGAGCAGGGACAGCTAAAGGCTCAGCCCAGCCACTGTTCACAAGGGCTCATGTCCCTTCTGCTCACTTTCCACTGGCTGGGCCACCTGTGGGTGGGGAGGGGGTGTTCCGCCTGCAGGTCACACAGCAAGGACAGGCTTGTGTAATCACACGGGGACTGAGGGAAAAGTTGCGATCATCACACCACAGAACAACAAAGCAGGCAGTTTTTTAAAAAAAAATTTTATTGTGGTAAGAACCCTTAACACGAGGCCTACCCTCTTAACAGATTTTTTAGTGTACAATACAGGATGGTTATTTATAGGCACGATGTTGTAAAGCAGACATTTAGAACTTACTCATCTTGTATAACTGAAATTTTACACATGTTGCTAAATGTATAAAGAAAAATGTGATATATACAGAGTGGAATATTATTCAGCCTCAGAAGAGAAGAAAGCCCTGTAACATGGGAGAACCGGAGGGCATTATATTAAGTGAACTATGCCAGGCACAGAAGGACAGGTACTGCCCGATGCCACTTACAGGAGATATTTAAAGTAGTCAAACTCATAGGTGAAATGGAGGGAGTGGTGGTTGCCAGAGTTGGGGGGAGGAGGAAGTGGGGGAGTTTTTAACCAACAGGTTTTTTAAAAACAATATAGTTAGAGCATTGACTCATTTTCAGAGTCATAACAATACCTACATTTCATCACCAAAACAGAATTGAATGCATTCATTGGGATAATACACATACCGGAGGGAGAAAGACGCCCTCCTCCCCCCACCTTCTCTAGCCATGAAATAAAGCAAAACCACAGTAGCTCCCAGCTCCTGAGAGCCAGGTTCCGAAAGCCCGTGTTTCTTGCATCAGATCAGACGTGCATCGGGTACCGCGGATGCACATTCTTAACCTGGCTCACCCGAGACAAGATCTTTGCTGACTTAGGTGAACGAATCCCCTTCTTTACAAAGAAGGTTTAAAGCTTTGCCTAGGGGTCAGCTTGATTTAGGAATTCCCACTGGCCAAAGGGGACAATCCAAGCATCAACACGGACATGGACATGGACAAAGCCCGGAAGCATTCAAACGTGATTAAATCTACGCCTTCCTAGACTAACTACTGCAACACAAGATGTCTGGCAGCAAGTCAGAGAATGAAGACAGGGCTGGGCTGGGCTGGGCTGCGGGGAGCGCTGGGATCAGCTGCTGCTAGTTAGGTCGGATGTCTGGGCATCGCAGACCGCCACCCCCCTGACCTACAGCTGTGTCTGCTGAGCTGCAGTCCAAGACTTTAAGCTCAAAATCAGAATTGTCTCCATGACGAATACAGCACTTTCAGGCTTGGCGCAATAGTAACTCTTAAAATGTAGGTTAGCACATTCACAAGTTGCTGTTTTCATCTTTAACTTTTTTTTTTAATCTATTGTTGTTTTTTTCCCCATTGACCCCCTCCTCCCCGCCCCCCCCAACTCCACC